CTCACGGAGGGGGTACTCCGATCCGTGCCTTGTTGTATGATCTTGTGCTCACCTTGTGTACCCGTCGGTTGGGCTGGCTTGAGCTCTTCGTAACGGCCTTGGGAGATGTCGATCTCGCTGAGAGGTTGGGTTGAGGGTTCGCTTCCGGTGCGGAAATCTTCACACCACGAACGGGGGTTCTGCGATCCCGATCTTGGATCGCACCGATCTTGATTTGTCTTCGAGATCGGGGTCTTTGCTGTGCGGAAATCTTCACTCAGCAAATAAAAGTCCTGCGTCGATCTTGCCTTGGGATCGGTCCGATCTGGTCTTGGGATCGGCCGATCTTGCCGGAAGTGCGCAATTTGGGTAGATCGGTGTCTTGTTTCGCCAAAATGAAACGTGCCGATCTGTCCAGGGGATCGCTTCGATCCTGCTCGGTCTTGTCTTGAACGCCTTGTCCAGATCTTCTGACCACTTGAGCCGTCTCGCGATCCTGTGTCCAAAATCCTTTTCCTTTTCCGTTGTGTGCTGCTACCCTAGCAGTTGAGTTGAGTGTGAGTACTTGATCGATCCGGGCCAGATATCCCGGGATCGCTCTTCTCGATCTTGGTCAACAATCCAAGATCGGTCTTCTGTGTCCCTGTAACACGCGTGCCTTAACCCGCCGGGGAAGCCAAATCAATCTTGCCTGGAGAAGAGGGGAGGATAATGTGGTGAAGTCGATCTCACAAAATTGCTTGTACGAGTGTCGATCTTCCACTTGCCCAGACTTGCCGACTCACGGAGGGGGTACTCCGATCCGTGCCTTGTTGTATGATCTTGTGCTCACCTTGTGTACCCGTCGGTTGGGCTGGCTTGAGCTCTTCGTAACGGCCTTGGGAGATGTCGATCTCGCTGAGAGGTTGGGTTGAGGGTTCGCTTCCGGTGCGGAAATCTTCACACCACGAACGGGGGGTTCTGCGATCCCGATCTTGGATCGCACCGATCTTGATTTGTCTTCGAGATCGGGGTCTTTGCTGTGCGGAAATCTTCACTCAGCAAATAAAAGTCCTGCGTCGATCTTGCCTTGGGATCGGTCCGATCTGGTCTTGGGATCGGCCGATCTTGCCGGAAGTGCGCAATTTGGGTAGATCGGTGTCTTGTTTCGCCAAAATGAAACGTGCCGATCTGTCCAGGGGATCGCTTCGATCCTGCTCGGTCTTGTCTTGAACGCCTTGTCCAGATCTTCTGACCACTTGAGCCGTCTCGCGATCCTGTGTCCAAAATCCTTTTCCTTTTCCGTTGTGTGCTGCTACCCTAGCAGTTGAGTTGAGTGTGAGTACTTGATCGATCCGGGCCAGATATCCCGGGATCGCTCTTCTCGATCTTGGTCAACAATCCAAGATCGGTCTTCTGTGTCCCTGTAACACGCGTGCCTTAACCCGCCGGGGAAGCCAAATCAATCTTGCCTGGAGAAGAGGGGAGGATAATGTGGTGAAGTCGATCTCACAAAATTGCTTGTACGAGTGTCGATCTTCCACTTGCCCAGACTTGCCGACTCACGGAGGGGGTACTCCGATCCGTGCCTTGTTGTATGATCTTGTGCTCACCTTGTGTACCCGTCGGTTGGGCTGGCTTGAGCTCTTCGTAACGGCCTTGGGAGATGTCGATCTCGCTGAGAGGTTGGGTTGAGGGTTCGCTTCCGGTGCGGAAATCTTCACACCACGAACGGGGGTTCTGCGATCCCGATCTTGGATCGCACCGATCTTGATTTGTCTTCGAGATCGGGGTCTTTGCTGTGCGGAAATCTTCACTCAGCAAATAAAAGTCCTGCGTCGATCTTGCCTTGGGGTCGGTCCGATCTGGTCTTGGGATCGGCCGATCTTGCCGGAAGTGCGCAATTTGGGTAGATCGGTGTCTTGTCTCGCCAAAATGAAACGTGCCGATCTGTCCATGGGATCGCTTCGATCCTGCTCGGTCTTGTCTTGAACGCCATGTCCAGATCTTCTGACCACTTGAGCCGTCTCGCGATCCTGTGTCCAAAATCCTTTTCCTTTTCCGTTGTGTGCTGCTACCCTAGCAGTTGAGTTGAGTGTGAGTACTTGATCGATCCGGGCCAGATATCCCGGGATCGCTCTTCTCGATCTTGGTCAACAATCCAAGATCGGTCTTCTGTGTCCCTGTAACACGCGTGCCTTAACCCGCCGGGGAAGCCAAATCAATCTTGCCTGGAGAAGAGGGGAGGATAATGTGGTGAAGTCGATCTCACAAAATTGCTTGTATGAGTGTCGATCTTCCACTTGCCCAGACTTGCCGACTCACGGAGGGGGTACTCCGATCCGTGCCTTGTTGTATGATCTTGTGCTCACCTTGTGTACCCGTCGGTTGGGCTGGCTTGAGCTCTTCGTAACGGCCTTGGGAGATGTCGATCTCGCTGAGAGGTTGGGTTGAGGGTTCGCTTCCGGTGCGGAAATCTTCACACCACGAACGGGGGTTCTGCGATCCCGATCTTGGATCGCACCGATCTTGATTTGTCTTCGAGATCGGGGTCTTTGCTGTGCGGAAATCTTCACTCAGCAAATAAAAGTCCTGCGTCGATCTTGCCTTGGGATCGGTCCGATCTGGTCTTGGGATCGGCCGATCTTGCCGGAAGTGCGCAATTTGGGTAGATCGGTGTCTTGTTTCGCCAAAATGAAACGTGCCGATCTGTCCAGGGGATCGCTTCGATCCTGCTCAGTCTTGTCTTGAACGCCTTGTCCAGATCTTCTGACCACTTGAGCCGTCTCGCGATCCTGTGTCCAAAATCCTTTTCCTTTTCCGTTGTGTGCTGCTACCCTAGCAGTTGAGTTGAGTGTGAGTACTTGATCGATCCGGGTCAGATATCCCGGGATCGCTCTTCTCGATCTTGGTCAACGATCCAAGATCGGTCTTCTGTGTCCCTGTAACACGCGTGCCTTAACCCGCCGGGGAAGCCAAATCAATCTTGCCTGGAGAAGAGGGGAGGATAACGTGCGTCGTGAGCAGAAGAAGTAGAGTTCAAGTCTGTTTGTTAACCAACCAAATTACTATCCAACCTACCCTTAAGCCTATTCTTAACTATAGGTCACTCTTCAAACCGATATTGCCTTGAATCTGGATCGCCCCCTTGCCACGTGTCGAAATTTCGTGCCCTGTACTCCAACGATAGCGCCAATATTCCCGATACCGTACCTGAACGCCAAAAGAGGACCAAATCCCAAATGGGGTACCAAATACCCATTTTTGGTACCCAAAAGCCCAAAATAGTGCCCAAATGCCGAAGGCGTCTAAATCCATTTTGCGACGTCAATTTAACCGGCTTCCACTGGCTCTTTCGATCTGAACTTTTGAGACATCACTCATGGACCTTCAACAAGCATGTTTGTCATGATCCAAAATTCTCATCAACGATACATCCATAATCAGTGGGGATCATGACCGATCTGATGCCCAATTCGAGATTGTTGAGGATCGACACAGTACAATCCGGCCATATATGTTCTTCCGTTCATTGTGTGCAACTCCGATGCTTTATCAAAATGATTCTGCTTCAACATCTCACATCTCCTTGCCTCTGATCAGCCTACAGATTGGTCGTTCAGTTCAATCCAGTCCCTCTCCCAGATCGCACCGTGGAAATCACCCCTTGCTACGCCCCGTCTCAAACCCGTCGCATCGCCTGGTCCCAGGCGTACTTTTCTCAAATGATTCTGCTTCAACATCCACATCCTTTCCTTTGATCAGCCTTTAGAGTGGTCGTTCGGTTCAATCCAGTCCCTCGTCCCAGATCGCACCGTTGGAATCACCTTTCCCGTCTCAATTCTACACGTTGCTCAACATCCCGTCTGCTCTGATCTTAGCCTGCTTCAAGGTACGTTACTTCTTCTTGACCGGTCCAATGGGTGTTGACTTCATCCCAACGTCTGGTTCCAGATCCGTCCCATACATTCTGTCACAGATTACCACAGTTACACCTTCGTCGCAGAGTCATATCCCATCACCCGGTCCCAGATCCTTGTCCCAGATTGTTCCATGTAAATCGTTCCAGATCGCTCCGTCCCAGGTCGATCCATACCCATTAGTCTAACGACAGTTGGATCGGTTCGCCGATCCCGTTAAGATCATCTTCCACCTCCGTATTGGATCGCCGAGTTTCATGGCCTCCTTTTCCACCAGTAAGTGGCGCTTTAAAGGTGTGGCCACCGATCCTCGTACAAAATTTGAGTAGTGACTTTGCCACAACCGCCCCCTGTACTGAAGTCTTTTGTACAGCAATTGACCTCAGTACAGTCACTCATCAACTTCGTTCCAAGCACTCAAGTCCGTCTCATGGCCTCTCCGACGCATCCACTGGCCTCGCTGATCTCATCAGAAGGACCCACCATGTTTCTGTCTCCGGATCGCGACATGTCGCCCGGATCGCCCGATCTCGGAGGACACACCCCAGCGGTCCCCGATCGGCCTGGGTCTCCGCGCCATCTAAGCCCAACCGGATCGCCCACAATCCCCACAGGATCGCCAGATCGCCAGCCGACCAGACCCTCGTCTCCATCCCGAGACTCGCCATCTAGATCGCCAGATCGCGGGTGGTATGCTCCTATCGTCCCAGATCAACATGAGTCTCTCAGTAATCCCAGATTGGTCGGATCACTCTCGACCGCCGCGGAATTATCGGATCGTTCCTCCGAGCCATTCCCGCTTCCCACTCCTCCGGCGGCCCCAGATGCGTCCAGATCCGACATCCCGGCCGCTAATGAATCTCGTGAAAGGTCTGCTCCAGCTGTGGGCGTCACCGGCTTCGTTCCCAGAGTCTCTGCCGACGACGTTCGTCTCACGATGGCCACGATCTCGTATTTGTGGGATCGAGAGGCTACCTTCTGCAGCCAAGCCGACACCATTCATGCGCTCCAGCAATCCTACCGAGATGCCGTCGTCCGGGGGATCGCTTACAAGACGAGCTTGATTCGCTATACAGATCAGCCGCTCCTTTTGTCTCCTTCGTCCAGCTTCGATATGACTGGATGCAGGGCCGCTACGTCGACGCAGTGCATTCTTTGAGTGATTGCCATCGAGCTCTGCGGACATATCGAGATCAATCGGAGGAGATTCGTCGGCTACGCACTTTGATATGTGCCAACGACGAGGCTCAGGGGAACTTGGAACGACAGGTGGATGCTTTGAGGGCTCAGCTTCATTCGCTCCAAGCCGAACTCAACTCTCTCCGACAGCAGCGTGATCAGCTGACCATGGACATATCCTTCCTTCACATAGATTTTTTGCACTTGAAGGAGCAATTGGCTCAGTCTCAGGAGGAGATCGCAGATGGACTGTCTTCGATCAGCGATCTCATGCAACAAGTGGATGGTTTGACTCCCTAGAGGGTCAGTTGGCACTTTCGCAGGCGGAGAACGCCAACCTACGTCGTCAGCTTGCGGAACACCTCGAGATATACGACCAGTTGCAGGTGGTGGAGCATGATCGGGATCAGGCTATAGCTGAACACCGAGCTCTCCTCGACACACTGAACAGTGCTATACTCGGATCCCGGTCGTCTGCGTTGATCGCTCGATCGACGCCTAAGAGTGCTACTCCGGCCGGATCGCCCCCTGCTCCCACTACCCCGGGATCGAGATCGCTTGCCCGTAGGTCCAGATCGAGATCGTCCGGCCCGCCTGCCAAGCGTCGGCGTATTCAACCAAGGTCACAATCCAGTGATTCTTCCACCGCCCGTGTGGCTTCCCGGCTATTGTCGTTGAACCCTTCAATACCTTTAAACAAACTTCCCGGATTGGCCCCACCCGAGCCTCCACCCAATTCTTCTTGTTCTCCGCTTTCGTCCGCGGCTTCTGGGACTGGATCGGGAAGTGAGGAGCTGACCGAGTCGGATTCTAGCTCGGATGATTTGACTCGTGCTGCATTATCCCAATCGAGATCGGCCTCTCGTCGTCAACCTAGATCGGATGCCCGATCTTCGACCCCGAACCCCTCTCCGGCCGCTCGGGTTGTTCCCGCTTCTCCCGCAGCTACTGCGTTGGCTCAAGCACTGTTGCGTTCGCCTTCTCCAGACGTTCCGGAGCCTCGTTATCTTTCGTACCCATCCACTCCGGTCGCGGCTGTCCCCGTAGTCGAAATTCAAGATGATGGCGGCGTAGAAGACGTGGAGGTATCGCCGACAGGGGAGACACACAGCGAGACTGGCTCTGTTAGTCCGCCTCCGGAGTCCACTGCGCTTTCGGATCGCCATTCGTCCGATAGCGAAAACAGCATCACCCTTCCGGCACGCCAAGTGGCTAACAGAGTTTTCTCTTCCGTGGACTTCGACAATCTTCCGCCACTCCAGCAACCACGGGATCGGTGGATTCCCAACTATCTGGCGCCCTCCCGACGGGTAGCTTCCGAGATCGCTCCATGGTCCGTTTCGCGGATCGCGATGGTTTGCGTGAGGACCATGACCATTGAGCTGTTGTTTCACCACTACTCCAAACCCAGGAATTTTCTGTTTCCCTTCTACAATCATGGACGAGCTCCGCCTACGGGGACTTGGGCTTCTGGGCTGATCTCGCGGCAACACATCGAGGCTCTTTACGCTTTAGCCCCTTGGGATAATATCATAGTCCCAGTGAACCCGATATCATTCACCATGACTGGATGGTATCGTGATATGGGTCATCGGTACCTGGAGCTTGAGTCCACTCATCGACAAGCTCTGTGGGAATCTACTCATGCTTTCCCGATTCCTCCGGCTCAAAGGCGATCTGAACGGTTCATGCAGACATTCTGGCGCCAACGAAAACAACGCCGTTCTCGCTTTGGAGCGCGTTGGAAGAACTTCTTGAAGATGATACTCAGCGGCATGATCGCTGGCCACTGTGATCTCGACATCTTGCTAGATCCCTTCTTCCTCCACTATCCGCGCCCACATGAAGACCGAGTTTGGTATCCAGGGTTAGGACACTCTAACGACCCAGCTGACTTGCTAGAGGCGTTGGACATGGCAGACCAAGAGGATCCTTGGCGCAACCAGTTCCGTAACGCCTATTGGGATCATCCCGGATCGCAGATCCCTCGTCTGCAGGACAAGTTCAAACCTGCTCCATCGTCTTAGTCCAAGATCGATATCCAAGCCCGATCGTCTTTCATAATCGTGTAAGTCATTCAATCATCTTCTTTTTTGGTACTTCCATTCTTTGCAACTTCCACGATCTCGATCCTCCTCGCTCCACATCATTCAGGAAGGTAATTCACTTGACTATCTCCATACTCACATACAAAAACCTCATCCACCAGCATGTGCTACCGTCTAGCACATCTTTCAACCCCCTACATCCGCATATGCTACCTCCCGCATACTTGTTCGAACTGTTAAGGTTCGTCCGACTTGCCTTCATGAGACTGCATTACGTCGAAACGGTTTCGACTCACTCGGTTCCGCTCAAACTCTTGCAAGATCGCCCCACAACGTAGATCGGCCTCGTCCACCCAACTTAGATCGGGATATCCCTTCCACTTCACCAGAAACTGCCGGTGTACTCGCCCATAACGGGTTTTTCTACCAGATCGCACGTCCAATATTGCCTCCACTTCGTATTCCCCTTCTTCAAGATCGCCATCCCAACTGTCTTCCGGCAGCAGAGCTTCATCGAAATCCAAGCGATCTGATTCCTCTATCGTAAGCTGATCCTTCGGGCGTTCAGGGAACGTCTTTACCTTTTTAGCTTCGATATGTGTACAATCGGAAATAACCGATATGGGGTTCCAGCGATCTCCAATTTTACAGCATGATCTCCACATACGTCCGCAACTCGGAATGGCCCATGCCACATGTGCGCTAGCTTCTTCGCATATCCCTCTTTAACTCGGTCCAGGTATAGCCAAACTTGCGCTCCTACTTCGATCTCGTGTGGTTCCAGATCTTCGTTGTGTCGATCCGCTCGCTCCTGGATCGCGGCTTGTAAACGATCGTTCACTGCAGATCGGGCTCGCAGGTATTGTCTTTGGATTTTGTATCTCCACCTCTTTGGATCGCGATCTCGTGTCCCCGTATTCCCCACTGGTAGCGTAGCCTCCAAAGTCGATCGCGGGTCCCACCCATGAATCAGATAAAATGGGGTATCCCCCGGATCCGATCTTGTGCAGTGTTAATGGCAAAGGTGAGCCGCTCAGCATACTCATCCCAGTCTCGCTGGTCAACTTCAGCCACGTACATCTTGAGCGAATGTGTCAGGGTTTGCACCATTCGTTCGGCTGTTCCATTTGCTTGTGGCCTGTAAGCCATAGTAGCACGCTGTTTTTGTCCTACGATCCGACTGAAGGCTCGAAAGAAGTCGGACATAAATCCCGGTTCTCGATCGTGCCTGATAGCCTCGCTAGCTCCGAAGCGTCGAAACACACATTCTTCGTAATTCTCCGCTATTGTTTGTGCCGTCCGAGAGGAGCTAGCCTTTGCAATCACATATCCCGAGAAAAGGTCGACCCAAATGAGCAGTTCGGTGTTCCCTTGATGGACTTGGGCAACGACGGTATATGATCCATGGCGATGATCTGGAATGGATAGGTTGCGTGTAGATTGCCCGGGGATTTCCCATGAATCATCGGGTTTCCTTTCCCGGTCTCACAGTCGGTACATTCGCCCACATATCGTTGAACGCTCCGATACAGTCCTCTCCAATGAAATCGCGATCTGATCCTCTGATAGGTTCGGCCAATACCCTGATGGCCTCCTTCCAGACTCGTGTGATAGTGATGCAAAAAATCCTGCTGCAACGTCTCAGGGATCACCAACCGCATCAAACCATCGCGATCTTCCGACTCTCTTTTCGCCATGGGGCAAAAAAATAGCAGATTGTTCTCATCGATCTCGTAATCCGGCGCCAGTTTGGCGCACGTCTTCACTTCTACCGCATCCAAGTTTGATACATCGCCACTTAGATATGTCTTGAGATTGACAATCCAACGCTCTTCATCTTGAGCTTGGACAATTCGTTGAATCCTGATCCTCTGTACTATCTCCTCCTGTATCACTTCAGGTTCATGACGTATCCTCCTGGCTGATCTCGCGATCGCAGTTACCCGAGCTAGCTGACCATCTTGCTTGGGCTTCAACAATTCATCGAGACGGTTCAGAGTCATCAGATCTTGCCGATCCTCTTCAGCTACAACCGTTCTTCCCTTTTCGCTCTGCAATGCTGTGCTGGCTAGTCGATCTGCGCTCTGATTCCACTCTCGCTTCATATGCAGAAACTCGTGACTAGGCCATGACTGCAGCTTCTCCAACGCTTTGTGTCTCAGAAGCTGAAGGCCCGGTGCCTTGCAGTCGATCTCACCGCGCATCTGTCGAATCACCAGACTGGAATCTCCACACAGTATTACTCGCCCCCTATCCAGACCGGCGAGTAACTCAAAGCACAGTAGCAAGCCATTATACTCAGCTTCGTTCACAGTCAGATCGTGAACATATCTCGATTCGGCCGCCACGATCGTCCATTCGGGTAACTTCCATATCACGGCACTGAACGACCCTCCTTTCTTTTTTTTATCCTAGCCGATCCATCGAAACTGGCTACCAGCAACTCCTCATCTGTTTCCACCGTTGGAGGAGGCATCGATATTTTGAGTCGACAGTCTTTTCGTGGGGAGATCGCAATCAGCATCTCTTCCACCTCTCCTCTCGGAGTGATACTCGCTGCTAACATGCCCAGGATTTCTTCCTCTCCTCTTTCACATTTCTTCACCTCCATAGTCCAATTTGACAACAAAGCAGCCCACCGTCCTAATCTCCCGTTGAGCCCTCGAGACTGCATCAACCAGGCTAACGTAGAATGTCGGGTCAGTACAGTGATCTCCCGCGAGGCAAGCGTAGTATAGCATACATCCAACACACGAAGTAGCGCCAGCACTTCTTTTTCTACCATTCCGTAGTTAAGCTCATTAGGCTTTAAAGTGCGGCTAGTAAACGTCACCGGATGGTACACGCCATCGTACTCCTGTATCAGGGCCGCTGAGACAGCCCACTTGCTAGCGTAGACCACGATTACGGGGGACCGATCTGGGTCGAAATGCTTGAGCATGGGAGCTGTAGCTATCTTAGCTTTTAGCATAGTGAAAGCAACCTTGGCTTCCGTCCATCGACCCTCGTTGGAGCATTCGTCTCCTGCTGCAAGCTGAGATCGGCCGATCTCGAAGAAATCCGATTCTCTTAACTCATACAACACCGCGGCATACACCGCGAAATCCTCAATGAAGCGACGGTAGTAGTTCAAGCTCCCGAGAAAGGATTGCATAGCTCGTAGCGTGCTAGGAAACGGGATGTTAACCAACGACTCTAGGTTCTTGGGCTGAGCCTCCAGACCATCCATCGACACTCGATGTCCCAAATAATCGACCTTACGGCACCCCAAAAACTCTTCGTGAGGCTGATAGACAGATTCCACTTATCACATGCCTCCAGCAACCGTTCTACTTTTGTGTACAAAGATCCCCATGACGCGGCTGGTATGAGAATATCGTCAATGTAAGATCGGCGTCCCAGTATAGACGGTCGTCGATCTGTCTCAGGTTCTCCATCTTTGAACACGTCGATCGGGCCATCAGAAGCTGATCTCTGGCCGATCTTGAGATATCCATACAACGCATTGTCCACCAGACGTTGGTAGATCTGGGGCGCGTTCTTAAGCCCAAAAGGCATTCGCAGCCACTCGAACAAGCCAAACGGTGTGACAAACGCTGAGATCAGTTTTGCTCGTTCGGTCATTTCGACGACCCAAAATCCACTAGCCATGTCTAGCGAACAGTACCATAGAGCTTTATCCAGATCTTCCAACAGATCGCTGATCAACGGCATGGGATAAACCATCAGACGCGTCAGCTGGTTAACTCTTCGATAATCAATGCAAAGGCGAATATCCACTCCGTTCTTCTTGATGATCACCACTATCGGAGACGCCCAAGGTGACGTGGATGGCTGAACGATTTTGGCTGCTAATAGTCCTTTGATGAGATCTGACAGCTTCTCCCGATATTTGGGTGCGACCGGACGCACTCTTTGCGCTATCGGTGCTGCCCCACCGACATCAATATCACAGATCGCGCCTCGTGCTGCGGGTGGTAGAGCATTACCTTTACCCATGAGGAGGTGACGGCTCTTCCAGATCAGCGATCTGAGCCGTTGTTGATCTGTGGTGAGAGGCACATCGGGATCACCGATCTGAATGTCCTCAATCGTAACTTCTTCCGTAGTCGCCGACATCTCTGGTAGCACGGCCATATGCTGCTCGATATCTTCCGCAAACAAATCTCCGCTCTCGTGGTGATAAACTGGTATTTCTGCAATCTCGACGTCTTCAGTATTTAGCATTATTTCTTCTTTAGGCTCCTTCGTCTCTTCCGGCTGGCCCAATTTCAACAGTCGGTCAGTCGGCTCAGCCTTCGGTAGAGACGATCTGTCACGTAGCCCTTCTTGACCGGTGTCGCGGTCTCCCTTCGTTGCATGTTGGGTACCGATCTCATGACCGTTCTCCATCCGCGATAGTTCGGCTCCCCTGACCGTTACTTCCCTCGCAACTACAGCATCTGCCTTTTGCGAATCGTCATCGTTAGCTTGCGACGTTACCGTGGAGATCGCCGGAGACAGGTTCTGTAACGCATCAGACGGACGTTTCAAGATGCGTTTGGGAGCGGCATACGTAGGACGATCTACCAATGGTCCGATCGGTTCTTTCGGGAGTTCGTTCACTCGATCCGTTGTAGCCTCATATGCCAGAGTTTGCCATTCCTTGTACTTCCCCGACCCGACTGTCACCAAACCTTGGGTCCGCGGTACCATATCGCCTTCGACCCACATGCCTAATATAGTGTGGGTGGGCAGTATGATCTCCCGGTCGCCAATGTTGGTCATCTGCAGGTATTTCGTCTTACCCCACCCCGAGATCACAGTGGGGACCCAATCTAGTCCTCTAGCGACCCACAACTTCATCTTAGCCCCTCCGATCCCGATCTTCACTTCCCTTGACTCTCCGACCGGGATCACCACGTGTTGGTCCTTCGCCGTTATATGTTGTATCTTCGATCCGTACGCGGGGCGACGTCCTGCGAGATGAATGCGGATTTCTTCTGGTAGACATAGCGCGCCATCCGCTAGATCGAGCCGCACTCCAGCAGGCACCATAAAATCCATACCCAGAATCGCTTCTTGCCCTGCCAGATCGCCTACCCATACATTGAAATAGTATACCAGCGATCCCGCGAGGGTCACCTTGATCTTGGTACGTCCTACCGTCATGTACGGAGTTTCTCCAATCCCGATACATTCTTGTCGTTGACTTTCGTCAATATTGCAACCGACCTCACGAGCAAAGGTGGTGTCAATGATCGACACTTCAGCACCAGAATCAAATAACAGAGTAGCTTTTACGTTGTTGATCTTGCCAACGGCTTTCGCTTGTTTGAACCACTTCCCGGGTGAATAATGTTTCCAGTATCCGCGAGATTCACCATAAGCGAGCTCGATCTCCATAGCTGGTTCAGATCGTGAGTACTCATCGATCCGCTTCAGATGGGACACGGAAGCGACACGTTTTAACTTCGAACGAGATATATTTGTTTCCACGTCAATATCCTGCTTACTCTCGCGATCTGTCTTCTTTTTTCCACGTATGCAATAATGCAGAGCCCAGAACGCTCGGCTCGTACCAGATTCAAACCTGGCGAGCGTCCTAGTTTAACATCTTCTCGGCCTTCTCTGGTAGCATCCCCGCATGCTTATTCGGGACGTACCACTGACGGATCATGTTGTAGAACTCCTCCATGGGACACTTCCCCGGGTCGTGCATCTCACCGCAAGCACGACACACGAAAAACAATTGTCAGAGGGGTGTCCTTTACGCCCACACTTCTGGCAAGTGAGCCGCTTCCAGCAACCGAGATCTCCATGCTTGGTCGATCCGCAATGAGTACACGGCTTCAATGGCATATTGCGATCTTGATAGTCTTGACGAGTGTTCGGGTCGACCGATCTCGCGTTTGCTGCAACGTCATTGGGGGATGAACGGCGATCCGCAGTAGCAGCCACATGGATCGATCTCAATCGATCTTCCAAATCCGATCCGCAGGTGTCCGATCCTGACTCGCTGCAGACGTCCTCGGTACGGACCATCCTTACCGCTCGTGCAGGCTTAGACAGCGCTGGACCCTGAGTTCCCTTCTGCCTGAATTTGGACGATCCCATCATCACTTTCCCTTGACGCGATCTCCCTTGTTGATATCCGTGCAGTGTCTTTTGCATGGCCTCCGCGTCTTCTACATTCAGCAGTAGCAATTGATTGGACAGATCGGGGTCGTCCAAGGTGTCAATGAAATGATTGACATGTTCCTTGCGCGCAGCTGGCAATCCAGTCATCACCGGTATCTTCGCCTGCATTCCCATCACATTAAGCCGATACAGGTACTGTAAAGGATCTTCCTCCGATCGTTTCTTTGCATGGTAGTATTGCCTGCTCGCGGACATCCCGTGTCCCGCATACTCCACAAGAAAACTGTTCATCAATTCTTTCCAATTGAATCTCGTCGATCTACTCAGCTGTCGGTACCAGTAGCGGGCTGGGCCCACCATGAGATCACCGAAGACCAGACATCTCTCCTCGTCCGGTGCTTGGTCCCGGATAAACGCTGATTTCACTTTGCCGATCCAGGTCTCGTGCTTTGTCTTCTTCCCGATCCTTCCCTGAGAATTCTTTCAGCTCAGAAATCGCTGAGATTCTGATCCTCTGCGTGATGTTTCCCCCTCCGGTAGTCGCACCGGTCGCGGCTACTTGAGGGCGCCGTGGTTCGGGCATCCATAGATCATCCGGGTCGTATTCCGCCGCCTCATGGATATGTTGGTAAATGTCCGACCCCACCGACTCCATCTCCACATCCGGCATGTCAAGGCTTTCGTGTGAAGGTTGGAGCAAAGTACGTCGATCTGGGTAGCGGTTTGGCTGTCGATTCATTCGCTGAGCTGTACGTTGATCCGCCTCGTACTTCTTCATGGCTGAATTGAAGTACCGACTTAGATCGCCCTCTTCTTGATCCTCCAGCCCAGTGCGGGTACTGGCCGATCTCTGCGGCATGTTGCTCTTGGCTTGTCCCTTATAGGCGTCGATCTTGGCTTGTCCGATCTTGTCCTTTAAGAACCTTCCACCCGATGGTCCTAGAGACATCTGACGAATGCTGATGGATCCATCTGACTCGCTCTCGGAGTCATCCGAGGCGTAGCGGGGCGATCCTGCGGGATGTTTACAGAGCGAGCCCGAGGGCGTCCCGATCTTGTCTTCAGGAGTATTTGCTTTGCCCACCAGCATTATCATGATCTCTACAAACTCATTCGCCGCGTCCTTCAACTGTTCCAAGCTGCAACTCAGCAGTTCATCTCCATCAAAAGCGTCAGGGCAGATACCCATGTCGTCCAACATCTGCAAAATCACATTGATCTCGTCGACTTTGTTGGTCCCGTGAAGTGGGACCGAGATCGGCTTATCCAGAGGACCAATCACCTTGGGCCTTAACATCTTGAACACTGGGTCCGTCTTGAGCAGCGTCTTCAACTGGCCATAATAGTACTGCCATTTTGCACGCTCCCGCGCTTCACCCGTCGTCTCCTTCTCCCTGGACGCGATCTTTATTGGGTTATATTCCGTCTTTGGCATCGCGATCTTATCTGGTGTTTCATCGTATTCCTCTTTGGCTCCGATCTTCGATTGCACGGTTCGGCCGATCTGGCGATCTTTGACATCTGATCCCATCGATCTCGTCGCGGATCCTTCTGATGTGGTCGATCTCGCGATTGTGCTCTTCGGCTTGAGGTCGGGCGATCTATCGACTAAGATATAGGGTTTGGCTTTCGCCGATTTGGTTTTCACCGTTGGATTTTCATCCAGCAGATCGCTCTTTGTAAAGCGATCTGCGGTGGCCCCCGAAGGGACCCTAGGAGGGAATTGAGGTTTATCTTCCAGATCGATCTCTCGATCTTCCTCTTTCATTTTCATTTCATCAGAGCCCCTCCCAAAACTCTGATGATCTGAGGATCTTGTGCTTCTGCGTGTCTGCGTCGATCCCTTTGTCGCTGACACTTCAATCCCAGGTTCTTGCTTAATCTTGACATCTTCGCCAGTGGACTCACGGTGAAATCCAGAGGTCTCAGAAGATCCGGGCACGCGCACCATTGTGGTGAAGTCGATCTCACAAAATTGCTTGTATGAGTGTCGATCTTCCACTTGCCCAGACTTGCCGACTCACGGAGGGGGTACTCCGATCCGTGCCTTGTTGTATGACCTTGTGCTCACCTTGTGTACCCGTCGGTTGGGCTGGCTTGAGCTCTTCGTAACGGCCTTGGGAGATGTCGATCTCGCTGAGAGGTTGGGTTGAGGGTTCGCTTCCGGTGCGGAAATCTTCACACCACGAACGGGGGTTCTGCGATCCCGATCTTGGATCGCACCGATCTTGATTTGTCTTCGAGATCGGGGTCTTGCTCTGTGCGGAAATCTTCACTCAGCAAATAAAAGTCCTGCGTCGATCTTGCCTTGGGATCGGTCCGATCTGGTCTTGGGATCGGCCGATCTTGCCGGAAGTGCGCAATCTGGGTAGATCGGTGTCTTGTTTCGCCAAAATGAAACGTTCCGATCTGTCCAGGGGATCGCTTCGATCCTGCTCGGTCTTGTCTTGAACGCCTTGTCCAGATCTTCTGACCACTTGAGCCGTCTCGCGATCCTGTGTCCAAAATCCTTTTCCTTTTCCGTTGTGTGCTGCTACCCTAGCAGTTGAGTTGAGTGTGAGTACTTGATCGATCCGGGTCAGATATCCCGGGATCGCTCTTCTCGATCTTGGTCAACGATCCAAGATCGGTCTTCTGTGTCCCTGTAACACGCGTGACCTAACCCGCCGGGGAAGCCAAATCAGTCTTGCCTGGAGAAGAGGGGAGGATAGCGTGCGTCGTGAGCAGAAGAAGTAGAGTTCAAGTCTGTTTATTAACCAACCAAATTACTATCCAACCTACCCTTAAGCCTATTCTTAACTATAGGTCACTCTTCAAACCGATATCGCCTTGAATCTGGATCGCCCCCTTGCCACGTGTCGAAATTTCGTGCCCTGTACTCCAATGATAGCGCCAATATTCCCGATACCGTACCTGAACGCCAAAAGAGGACCGAATCCCAAATGGGGTACCAAATACCCATTTTTGGTACCCAAAAGCCCAAAATAGTGCCCAAATGCCGAAGGCGTCTAAATCCATTTTGCGACGTCAATTTAACCGGCTTCCACTGGCTCTTTCGGCGTGAAACTTCTTGACATCACTTAGTGACCTCTACCAAGTATATTCCACATGATCCAGTGTCTTCATCAACCATATATTCATGATCAGTGTGGAAAATGACCGATCTGTCATCCAATATCGAGATGTTGGAGGTCGATCCGGTCTAAATCGGCAATTAACACTTTTTCATCTCCTCATACGTGCTTCAATATCATCCTCCAGTGTTATCCAATCGACAACTTCATTCATACGTCTCGACATCGGTTTCCTTGACTCTTCTGAGTATGCAAAAACTTCCAGATCGGTGTATAATTAACCAAAATCAGTACTCCCAATTTAGGATCAGTAGAGTATCACCGATCCGTATGGTGTTGCACCTTCTTTGCCGATTCACCGACCCGTACCACCTGGTCCCAGATGCACTTTGGGGAGTCACCTTGTCCCAGATGTGTCAATTCTCCAACAAACCGTTGCCACAACATGTCGATCTGCGATCTAATCTTAGCCTGCTTCAATGTACGTATACTTCTTCTTGACCGGCATTCCAATGAGCTGTATGACTTCATCCCGACGTCTGGTTCCAGATCGCCCCATAACATTCTGCAAGATGTTACACCTTCGTCGCAGAGTCATATCCCATCACCCGGTCTCAGATCCTTGTCCCAGATTGTTCCATGTAAATTGTTCCAGATCGCTCCGTCCCAGGTCGATTCATACCCATTAGTCTAACGACAGTTGGATCGGTTCGCCGATCCCGTTAAGATCATCTTCCACCTCCGTATTGGATCGCCGAGTCTCATGGCCTCCTTTTCCACCAGTAAGCGGAGCTTTAAAGGTGTGGCCACCGATCCTCGTACAAAATTTGAGTAGTGACTTTGCCACACATGCCTACTCTCTTAATCTGAACGCATTCGCTTTGCTGCTTATTTGTTATGAGTCCAGCACAAATTTGCATATCGAGGTCTTAGATCATGTCATGTTGGTGCGCTGGTTCATGTCAGGTCACCTTCCGCAGCTTTTCGGTGCTGATATGTCGTGCTATGAGTCTATAATCTTATCTTTTGAGCTTTCTATTCGCCTTTCGCTCGACAGCAGCAACATGCTTGTCTAAATCCACTCGATCACACACATTGATTATTTCCCCTTTTGTATTCGGAACTGAAAACCAAGAGTAAAAATTAAGCGCGCGTGGTTTTAATGGAAGAGCCATCAAAATGATCTTTGCTGAAGGAAATCATCTTTGCTGACGGATACTTGACAGCACCAGTCATCGTGTAGATCCCTTTGTGAGTTGCAGTATAATAGTGTGAATGGCGGTGCATAGGACCAATCGCTGTAGTTGTCGTATATTGATTCTGTTACAGTTGTTTAGTGCACCCCGTTTTGGTTTCAGGGGTGGGTGGAAATAGCAAAAATGGGGTGGGGGTGGGGGTGGGGGTGGGGGTGGGGGTGGAAATATCGTTGCCCTTAAAAATGCTATTGTCAATACTGAGCCGCCGACAAAATTACTGACCTCATATGTTCGAAGACATGCACAAAACGCTGCAAAGGTAACAAAATAGAATAAAGGTATCAGTGTAGCATGTGCTATAGTATCGACAAGCTAGTCGTTCATTATCTGCTGTCAAGCCCCTTCCTAGTAAAGCTTAAATCTGGAAGCACAGAAGGGTATAGAAGGACTAAATATTCGTGCACGACAGTCCGTCAGTGCTGCAGTAATTTTTCAGAAATTTTCAGAAGTTCTCGAGTATTCTCGATTTTTATTATCTAAATTCCATTTTCGTTCGGGATGGCTACAACATTTAAAGCCTGATGTTGTAAAAGTTGTTGTAGATCGCAATGAATGAGAAATTCAAGAAGTGAATTTTCAATACATTTAATTCTGATTGCAAATATTTTTATTAGGTTAGGATCCTAAACTTTTTGAAAGTTTTTACATGAAAGTGTATCAAAATTAGCACTGTCGATACATGTCTTCCTGATATAAGTAGACAAAATAATCAGTCTCCAGTTTTGTGGCCTCCTGCTCTGTTCGAAGCATCACAATCAAGTTGTTATGCATCCAATTGCCACCAAAAGCACGACCAAACGTCACGCTTCGACTTGTGTGTATTATCGTGCTCAACCCAGCCAATTTACGCCTACGTGCCAGCTTTGTAAAACGAATCCATGAATGCGAGGGCTAAGATAGAAATCTAAGAAATCGCAGCCACTCCATGAAGTTGCAGCGAGCCAAATTGACAATACGTAAACCTGTTCTCTGAGTTCTTAGCGATTCGGATCTCTTACAGATTAAGGAAGAGCGAAGCTTCTGTTAACACATGCAACCTCAGCTGTGCCACAGCTAGTGGCATGTCGAGGGGGGGGGCGCACTAAGTTTTTAGCCATATGATCAGGGCTGCGCTTGCAAATACACCATTCATCAGTCATTAAGAGAGAGAGATTCGTTGGCATGACGAACTAGACGGAACTGCTTCCACTCCAACTGTTTCAAAAAGATCTGAACTTCTTGATATTTGCAGCAATCCTGATCTACGCACAAGACGCTATAGAAGAAAGCGCTCGGTGTTGCTCGTCTAGTCGTGGTACACGCTGATGTTTGAATGCCAGAAAGAGGAACATCGGTCGTATCGTAGGCAGCTCCACCTGATGCACGCCCTTGATATCGCGGCTCCGCTCAGTGTGAGCATTTTGTATGTTTGTTTACCATACCAGGAGCCATAACATGCGGCAAATGAGCATTAGTAGGGAAGGAAGACCTAGCCACGTAAAAGACGAGGAGATAAATCTGCTCGCGTGAACGGACTTCCAGTGTTCCCCACGTGGTCGTCTCGCCACGGCAGTACCACTCATTCTCTGCAGACGAACACCGAGAATCGACGCATTGGGTTCACACTCGAAAGTTGCATATTCCGTTACTGCATTACCGTCCCAGAAACCAACCCGAGTACTGAAGATTGCACAGACCATCTCGACTTCACCAGTGCTGCTGCCCACCTGCACACATATTCCCCAAAGTGTGAAATACAAGAGCATCACACACATAATGTGTCTCTGACATGCGACCCGCACAGTTCGCACTGTCGGCGTACTCGGTGGACACACGTATCTGTTCAGCAGTTGGACGGATGTGGCTGCGATGGCTATTCGACTGGCACATTAGCACTTTCATCAGGAATCTCGATGCGCAGCAGCTCCTCGGTGCGACGTCCAGCGTGCGCGATAACAGCGGGCTCTTTGAGAGAGAGGACGCAGCTCGCCCCAGAAAAGAACGTACCATTCTCGATACCAATTCGGTTGGAGCACAGGAAATAGCAGTTCCGTTTGCCATACTCTTCTTTCCTTAGCGCATCAATGACCGGGGACAGGCGCTGCGCCCAATAAGAGAGCGTTGAACCCGGCCCAATGTCATGTGCTTCAAAATCATTCCAGGCACACGCAAATAGTACCAAGTCGCTTCGGTTCTCAACCACATGTGTACCAAACTCATATGCCGAGAACGGAGCTTTGAAGTCATCCGGGTTGATGTCCATGCAGATTCCGAATGATATGGTCTTACCAAGCCACGGACAATGCCACGTACAAAAGCCTTTTCCTGCCGTAGCCCACGACTTGTCTGTCTCGTACAGGAACGTCTTGCGTGGATTGCATACGAGTTCACCCGCAGGACTAATGACCAGCATCGAGTTGTACATCAGATCGCCTTCTTTCTCGACGTACCCACATGTCACCATGCAGTGCAACCGACGCGCGTGGTGCTGACACCAGCGATAGGTTTGTCCTTCGTCCGCAACTTCCGCGACTTCAGCCACTTCAGCCTTGTTTCGGAACATGTACCCCGTGAACGCCATCTTCCAGGACCTCAACAGCCCCATCCAAGAATACCAAAATGGTGTGAGAAGACACATGCATCCGTCCCCATTTCTTTCGGTAACAGTACCGCACCTCCGGCAGCATCAAGATGTCGATGCTGTCGCTCTTGGACAGTGACGCGACCATCTGATCCACGTGCTGTGGTCACGCAATTGGACACAAGGAAATCGAGTTATTTTTCTCCGCTCGTCAGCATCGTAGCTCTCCAGATGTCGTCACCAGCACCAATACCAGCACCAATACCAGCCATACCTTCATGTTCCGCTCGACTTGCCCGAGCTGCGGATCTAGAAGCGGCATAACCACAAGAGGCTTGATTTGCACGGAACTTTCGACAGATGTCAACCACCCCGCGTAGTCACGTACCATACTGCACGATAGCAATCTGCATACTTTTGGCGTTGCCAGCAAACTGGTGAAGTAACGAGATTGCCTTTTTTATAAAGTTGTTTCTAGAATCTGAACAAACGCTTGAACAATCAAACGAACAATCGAACGAGCAATCAAACGAACGACTGCTTAAACAACAAACAATCAAAACCCATACTCTACAAGGTTGCCTTTTTTATAAAGTGGTTTTTAGTATCTGAACAAACGCTTGACAATCAAACGAACAATCAAACGGCCATTCAAACGAACGACTGCTCAAACAAACAATCAAAACCCATACTCAACTCGATTCTTTTGTCTCTTCATGCTGAAGTCGCTCGATAAGATTGGGCATCTCTTGACGGAGTTCCGTCGCTCGGTCCTGCGTTGCATAAGCAGAGAGACTCGTCTGGTGCTCGAGCTGGCGGCTGAAAAACTCGGCCAGCATCAGTACGTATACACCGCAATCAAAGCTATTCTTCTGCTGAGGGGCGTCTACAACCTCCTCAACTCGATTAGAAGCTCCGTCTCCATCCTGTCTTCCAGCCGCTTGCAACAGCAGCTCAAACGACTTGGCTACACGTCCAGCCGCTTGTTTATTGTGGCCGGCGCTCGAGTCAAAGTGACGGAAACTGCCGTCGCAGTAGAGCAGCAACGACCAGTGACTACTTCCTCCGCCCAGTGCGTCGTTGTCCGCCACTGGGATGATGCAGAGACGTCTGGAAAGGAGTTCTAAACCTCTGGCCAAGTCCGAGTACTCGTCCTCGTCCTCGCACTGATGCAGTAGACACGAAACGACGGCGGGGTCCATGAGCAACGTGTCGCTTGGAGCGCACGTGTGTGTGAGATGCTGCAGGTAGAAGTTGATGGTGGCGTCATTGAGCCACTGGCGACTCGCGAATAGCGCCACGTCCGACTCGTAGAGCAGCACGTCGTGGTATGTGAGTCTTGGCTTGGTCATTGTTCCGAGTGGTGGTTACGAAAAGGATAGGGCGAGACGGGTGACTGTGTCGTTGAGACTGTTAGAAACACGTTCTAGATCAGGAGTCGTGGACTATGCAGAAGCCGCCGCATTCTACATAGGACCTGCGTTCGATTGCGTTTCGAACATGTCCGAGCACATTTCTAATTGCGCGTCCCACGTTTCAGACGTTTCAACTTCTACGAGTCTCAGGACAGTGTCATCGTTTCGTTTTACACGCTCTGCTGCAACTTACAATGTCCAGATGTGGCTCATTCATTAGCGACGATTGCGCTTGACCAACAAGATTTCGTGACCTCTTGGCGCTGGATACTAACTCAGTGGTCTACAGAAAAGAAAGCAAAGCGTGGAACGACAGCACAATGCACATTTTCGTCCAGTCAAAAAGCCAACAGTCATGTCAGGTCACCCAACCAGACGTCAGCTAGGTCAATCAATCTTCACTGAAAGCAGAACGCCAAGAATACACTGACGTCAACCTCTCTCGACCCAAACGATGTCGTTGATGATATAAAAAGCGACTACAACCAGCTACTCACTCTATCATCACGCCCGTCTGTTCCCCCCAAAAGCTCTTTTTACCACAAGCCGTTCGCCTCCGCCAATCAGACGCCAGCATTCCCTCAGATCTCGCTCATTTCGCAATAAAGCCAACCGAGCCGAGCGACCATGGCCGCGTCTCTCTTCCCGCAGTTCGGCAACGTCTTCGGCACGCCCAGCTCAGCCGGTCGTGTACGTCCGCCCGGCCTTACCACCCGCATCGTCTCTCTCTCTCTCGCTCTCCTCTCTGCGTCTGCTAACACTGTCTGTCTGTCTGTCTGTCTGTCTGTTGCGTCGGATCAGAACGAGCTCGTGTCCTTCCACGCTGGCAAAATGACCGTCAAGGCCGCCGCAAACGGCAAGTTCCTCGTGACGCCGCAGCTGGAGAAGGGCAAAGTCTGTCTCTCACGTGGTGACGACCAGCTGCTTCACTTCCAGTGGGTGGACCGCCAGACGGGAGCCAGTCCCGAGGACTTTATCATCTTCCCGGACGACGCGCACTTTGATAAGGTGGACACGGGCCGTCCAGACGATCGCGTGTACATTCTGCAGTACAAGAACTCGTCGCGCCGCTTTTTCTTCTGGATGCAGGTAACAGGAGAGGGACTGTCGATGGGGCAGATTGAGTCTTTTTTTTCTTACAAGATGATTGGGCTGTTTGTACCAGAACAAGGACGCGTCGCGTGACGAGGAGCTGGTGAAGAAGGTGAATGACGCCATGAACAATGCACAGGCAGCCTCGAGCAACGACGGTGGTCGTGTCTCTGGCAACAACGTGCAGCTAGACCATAATGCTATCATGCAGATGCTCGGCGCTATGAGTGCAGGAGATCAGGGACGTGGAGGTGTCAGTGGAGGAGGTGTTGGCGGCGGAGGTCAGGCCGTGCAGATGTCGGAACTGCAAAACATCCTGCAGAATATGGGATTGCCAGCGGAAGCCCAGTCGACGGCGTCGTCACCAGCAACGTCTGCCGTGTCGTCGTCGCAGGCGTCACAGAACGGAGGTGGTATCTCGGCGGCTGCAACTACGGCATCTACTCAGCATGAGCACGATGTCAGTGGTATGGAAGTGGATGAAATGGACGAGGATGAGCTGCTGCGATTGGCCATTGAGGAGAGCATGCGCGATGGAGGCAGCACCAACCCGGACGCATCTGGAGATGGCGCTGCAGGAGGTAACAGTGACTCGAGTAGCAGCAACAGACCCGCAGGTCATGGTGGGCACAGTGACAGTGACGCTGGTGGAGGCAACATGGACACCTCATCCTGAGCTGTTGAAGATGCAGTGAAAGGCTTGTACCCGTGTGGGTAGGTAGCATGTAACTCTCCAACAAAGTTCTACGTTTACTCGGTCCATGTTGCTCCACTCTTGCTACTGACGCGTTCCTTCCACCAGCGTGAGTAAATACAATTGCTGCAGGACTAGTCCGCTCCACAATGTTCTCACACGTGCTGTATTGCTATAAAGTTTGTAGGCATGCTGGCAACTGTGGTCTGCGGGTCTCATCGTGACAGTTTATGTTGTCTTCAGCGCGCTCAGCTGACGTGTTGTTCGTCGTGTGTGTTATACATGTTGCAGCTCTGTCCGGTGCCGCCGCAGTGTCGGCTCCAGTTCCGCCTGAACCTGTGGCGCTGTCACAGTTTACCCCGACAGCTGCTGTTGCAGCCTCAGCTCCGGCAGGCACCAATGTCGCGGCTGGTGGAACGCTTACAACGGCAGACCTACAACGCGCAATGGCTTCTTTCCAAGGGCTCACGGTAAGCTGGCGTCCTCATCCTCATTTTTCACATGGGTTTCTGATTGGTTTTGTGCTATAGCAACCGAAGCCGGTATCCCTGACGAAGCTCCTCAGTGCTGACAACATGGAGAGTGTTCTTGATGATCCAGCATGCGTCGACGCCTTGCTACCACACTTGCCCGAGGGTTCCCAAACTCTCGCGGAACTTCGCACAACGGCACGTCATCTCAAGCTGTTTGAACCTATTGTCCCATGTGCAGTTAACTCTTACGATTTTGCCTTGTCTCCATGGCTATCTATCGACTGTATCCATTCAGTTGCGCTCTCCTCAATTGCGTCAAAGCATCGGCTCGCTCGTGAGTGCTCTGCGGAGCGGAAATTCGGACGCGGTCATGGCAAATTTTGGACTGGATCCTGCGGCAGGTGCTGCAAAACTCGCATTCGGCGACGGTACGTTAACAATGCCATGCCAGAACAAATTCTGCAGTAGCTTGACGAGGGTCTTTGGCTTCTTTCTTGCGGCATGAACTAGGCGTGGGTGCATTGCTTGCTGCAGTTCAGGCGTGGGCCGACCAGCAAAGCGCCACAGAGTCTTCTCAAGTTGTAAATGATCGGAGTGGGGCGGAAAAGTAAGACATGCCATGGTCGATGTCATTCTGGAGCTCGCGTAACACTGTGACGGGTACAGCTCTTGCACTTTCAATGAAACACGGCGACAGCGCTTGTTTTACACAGATGGTGCTTCATTCGATACCTGCGTGAAACTAACATGTACCCGCAGGGTGCCTCTCACACTAAAGCCCGACTCTTCATTTTGCTTGTCAGCATCCGGTTCGCAGCGTCTACATGACACAACCCCAAGACCAGCAGACACACACCACACGTATTCGAGTGCATCACAAGCCGAAACATTTGGCCTGTCCATCGATAGCAAACCAAGCTTTCCAGCAACTGCATTGTGTCTAGAACTGCATCGGCGCGCTTGGTTCGATGGCCTAGCAAGGCAACAAACAACGGTGTTAGTCGCGATGATCGGAGTGCAACTCACTGCATTGGCACACCGATGGAGATCTGAGGAGCTGGCTGCCGATAACATTTTTACTGGCGATCTCTAATTGTCCAGCAGATTCTACGAGGATACTGCTGCTAACGCTTCGCAGCAGCTGCTATTCGTGTGGCATGACGTTAGCCAAGTGGCTCTTTGTTGTCATTATCCAGACCGTGCGCAAGGCGTTACTCGCCACAACAACATCGGTACCAACGTGCTGAAAAGCCGACTCACTCCCCGGTTTCTGATCACTTTTGTAATGCTTCGACGTTCTCGTAAGTACCGTGGACGAAGACGTCCAGCTAGCAAACAGGTGCAAGCAGCAAAAGCAGCATATCTGCTGGTTGACGCGCCCGGTTGCAATTGTTCAAGAAACCATCTCTCTACAACGCAACATTGATTGACAACGCGACTTAGGCACCGACGCAATGAAAAGGTGCGAGACAGCGCACACGAACACGCTACCGCCGCTAGCTTCTATACGATTTGCGAGTCAAGTCTGCTGTCGTCGCTATCTTTGCTAGTGGTGCTGCTGATGGTCCACAAAATATGAAGCAAACGGCGCGGGCCTTGCAGAAGTTGGGTCGCTTTCAAACCCATGACCACAACTTGGCATACCAGGGTTCTTGGATGCGCGTTTGGGTAAGATGACGTTGCAGGAGTCATCGCGAGCTGGGTTCTTGTGCATATCCATTGCATTGGCCACAGGCTGCGCATGCTGATGATGCACGGAGAATGCAGAGTGGGCATCCGCGGAAGGCCCATCACCATGGCGATGGCCATGACCGGGATCGTGAGCTTGATCGTGACTATGGCTGTGACCGTGGCTGTGACCGTATGAATGACGATGACTGTGGTCGTTGTCATAGCCATGGCTGTGACCGTGGTCATGGTGACGACTGTAAGCATGATCCCCATCGTATCCGTTCGTAAATTGCGACCTCTCACTTCCATTCCTCTCCGCTCCCATCGTGCGAGTCACCTGAGGTTTTGAAACCTGCACCGTCAAGAACTCATCAAGTCGCGCATGCCGCCGAAAGATATCTCGAGTGTGCTGGAGCACATGCTGCTCGTCAGCAGAAGATGCAACCTCGAGGTGCAGCGTGGCCACGCTCATGCTGCCCGCGTGGTGCCAAATATTCCAGCGAGCTATTCGCTCCACGCCTGGTACCATTGTTTGCACATCCAGGAGAGCTGCATCAACATTACTTTTCAATTCCTGAGGTGCGCCCTGTAATAGCTGGAGAGCTGTATTCTGCAGCAATGGTAACGTACTACCCAAAATTAGCAACGATATGAGTGCGGAGGACGCAGAGTCGGCCACGTGCCATCCGAACATTTCTATGAGCACCGACGAAATGATCACGCCCACACTGCCCATCGTATCGGCCAACACGTGGAGGTACACACCGTACATGTTGCTGTTGCTGTTCCCACTATCGTGACCACCTTCTGACGCGTGCCCGCTGTGGGCCTGATGGTGGTCACCGCCATGGCTGTGGCCATGACCGATGCCGCAGCCTCCACCGTGCGTTGAATCCCCTCCATGGCTGTGACAATTACCGTGTACGTGATCGTGAAAAAAGAAGAGACCCACGAGGTTCACAAAAAGACCGACTGTCGACGTGAGCAGCAAGTGATCCGTCGTAACCTCAGGTGGGTCCATGAATCGTGATGCCGCTTCAGTTAGCAGGTGGAATGATACGACAAGCAGTAGCAGGGAATTCAGAAAGCCCGAGAGGACCTCCACACGACCATAACCGTAAGTAAACTTCGCATCAGGCGGAAGCTGGCCAATGTATGATGCCACGAGACCAATCGTGAGCGCACCGTTGTCAAACAGCATATGTCCAGCGTCACCCATGAGACCAAGTGAGTTCGTGTAGAGACCAACACCGAGTTCCACAAACATAAAGGCAACATTAACCGATAGGAAGAGGAGCATTTGACGTGAGGCGCGTCGCGACCACAAGACACCAATGACGTGGCTCGCTCCGGCCAGCACGCCCTCTTTCGAGCTACAACCCGGGCTTGGTCGGTACGTGTCCAGACCCGCTTCACTGTCATCACCGTTGTGGCCACCACCATCACCAAAGGACGCACCAGCGCGATGCCATTCACGCACAAAGACAAAGAGTATCAGACTGCAGGCCATGACGCTCAGGGCAGCGTGCAGCCATTGCTGCTGCCCCAATGCAACACCAATCGCCAGCACGATCCCCGTCGACGTGCACACGAGCTGAGCTTTGGCTTGATGGATGGACGACAGCAGCGTCAATTTCTGCTCGACGTAGCGACCTGCAAAGTGACTCGCAGTCGCTCCCATTAGAGAAACAGCTGTCCACGTCGTCATGGAGCTCCCAGCATCGCCACTCACTCGATCGTTCATCAGCTGCTGGACACGATCCGCGTCACTCTCTACAGGCGTCAGCAACGCCAGCACTGCGGCCACGCTCATGGCCATTGTAACGGACAGCAGCGTCTGCGGTGACGCGTCGTCTTGAGCATGAGGAGCGCTGCTAATCGACAGCGACTGGACCGCGACGCGCAGCCCCAGAGCCGCGCCTAGCAGCGTCAGGGTGTGCAGGAGAGTCCCGTACGCGTCGGAATGGATGCCAGCCACCAATAAATAGCCAATCAGCAGCAGCAACGCGCTCTCCTTGTCGCCAGTGGCGTGCCAGCGCTCAAGTTGCAGCAGCAGCAGGTCCACATGTTGCACTAAGAACGCAAACAACACCCCAAAGTGTCGCAGCGCCTGGACGGTTAGAAATAGACTCGCGAGACGGTGGACCGCGTCCAAAGTTGCGCGTTGCGGCTCGACGCGGAGGCGTCTTGAGTTGCGGGAAGAAACCGCCGCCACCACCACTGCCTGCACGCCGAGCTGAAGTAGCAGCAGCTGAGCCAACGCCGAGAAGTCGTGCGGCGTGTGGAGCAGAAACGAGCGCAAAAGTAGCAGCAGTAGCAGCGAGCACGAAGCCAACGCCGTGGCCAACGTAGCGCCTCCACGAGAGCCGCTGTCGAGGAGGTCCATTGCCAATGGGTTAATGAAGCAGAAACACACGTCGAAAGCCTTTTCCGCTCCACTGACGCGTGTGATGCGCAAATGCCGGTGAGAAACAGCTCGGATTTGCTCGCTGCCTGCCTCTCCAGCGAGGACAATATGAGCATAGTGAGGACATATGAGCATAGTGAGGACAATCTGAGCATAGTGAGGACATATGAGCTGAGACGTTGTATCGAGACGACGATATTACGAGTTGTAACCCCTAACTAGTCAGAAATGAATACACTCACTCAGCGATTATCACGGATGCCAATGGCAAGAACTGACTCAGGAGGTCACGTTTGTAGCACTTCTTTTGTTGTGGTAGGTTGACAACTCAGATGGTCGTTCCGTCCGCAAGCAGCTAAGACCGACACAAAAGGGGGGAGGGTGGGGCTGGACAGAATGTATGGGAGAGTACGAAGCTACGACGTCAAGGTCAGAGTTGCATATGCTATGACCGCTACTGGTACTTGCTTGGATGTGCATAGTGCATCCGACTCGAGGGTTGACCCCCTTATGGTCAGGAGGAGAAGAGGAGGACACGTATCATCTGATTGGCGATGGCGAAACGAGTGCCTCTATCCGACGGCGCTTTTCAGATCGAAGGGCTGGGTCTAGTATGACTGCAAATCCGATCGTTATCATTGAATGTTTACCGTCGTCGTCGAGATCTGCCATGGCGTTCGTGCAGCTCTTTTGTATTCAGTGAACATGGTGATCGACACTCTCGTGTCTTCTGACTACACCATGTTGTGCCGGCGCTACGAATCAGCCTGGTGCATTGCTGCTAGACTTTGCTTTGCCAAAGTTGATGTCCCCCGCAGCGTCTACGTAACGATGGCACATCGGCCGAAGCATCTCAGACTCCTATTGAATCCTAGTTGTTTGCCATGTGGCCTATTCTTCGACACGGCGGAAAGAATGACATAGCAACGACAAACGGTATTGCGTGCAACCACAAAAGGTGTTCATCGTTGCTAGATTGCTATGTACCCTACGACTGCACAGCTTGTCCAAGATCCCGACAACACGTTCGTTACAGACACCACTTCGATCAACAAACTTGCCAAATCAACTATTATGCGTGAAGAAACGCAAGAGAGTAGCGCAAAGCGGCGGAAGCAACAGTGAATGAGTGAAGTGAAGCATTGTCAGACCGCGGGGATCATGTAAGGTTAGAAAGTGTGTCTTGGTGATGGTGCTGTGCTAGCTGACAAAATGTTGGTTACTCACATCCCCGCATCGAACTAGTCTGGGCTACCATGACAACCTCAGGCTAGACAAAGAATGGAGACTGTAACGGGGCACCCTGAAGCTTGTACTGGTGACAGTACAAGCTACTTATTCTGATAACAGAATAAGGCGGTGCCTCGTAACTTCACGTACACTCGTACGTGCAGAGGAAGACGGTAAGAAGAAGCGAGTACTCGGTTAGAGTAAAAAGTAGAACTGTATTTATAATAGTTAATGTCTGCAATAAATCACTATTTATCTTCATCTAACTATGTCTAAATACAAATGTGTAAATCAGTTATCTGCTCACCACTCATTGCGTGCGTCTGTCGTGGCGCGTCTTCGTTGGTTGATATAATGGCCTATATCAACCAATTAGGAACTACTTGGAAGTGCTACAGAATATTGTCCTTATGACAATATTCTGAGAATATAACTCTTATAGTTATATTCTATTAACAATTTCTTATAAATTGTTATGTAACGATTCACCCCGTTACATCACCCCCCTTAACCATCAGTCACTTTAGTGACTGATTGACTAAATGGATACTCGTCCCAAATCATTTGGGACGGGGTTTGCACTTGTTGGTCCGCGTCCACTTTCCAACATCTCATCGCATGGTAAACAAGCCCATGCGATGCGCGAGCAAGGCCGCCGAGAGCGCGTCTGCACGTCTCTGTGCGGACGCCGAAGCAGAAACTACAGCAACTGATATCCCATCGGTTGCTGAATCGACTCAGCCTGTATCACCTGGTGATGCAGGCGCTGGTCATGAAGACACTCGTGTCTTCACAGAGTACGAGCTCGGTGTCTCGTACTCTCCTGATACGGATGACGGATCCGTATCGACGGCAATTGAATCCAAGCCGCCTGCCAAGCGTGGCATGGACGATGCTTTGCGTCGCAGCATCTTTGGTTCATCTGATGAGTCAGATGAACCATCGCCGAAGCGAAGGCGCTCGAGGTCGCGAGACTCGGGCGCTAATAGTGGTGTCGTTTCTCCAATGGACACCACTTCACAGCGAGGTGCCAGTACTTCTGTCGGCACGTCGCAGGAAGAGCGGGACCGCAATGTGTTGCGTCTCGCTCCAGAAAAGAAGGCATGGATGCCTCCTAAATCTGTCATGGATCACTTGTCGGCGACGACGAGTGATCGTTATCGAACACGATTGTTCGATTCGTCAAGGATCCATCACTTGACCCCAGCGCGAAAGACTATCGCGCTGAACATGAGTTCTTCATCGATGCTTTCTTCAGACATCGATGGTACAGTGGGAATCACAAACGTGATGGTCCCTCACTACTTCAGGCGTGGAACGCCTACATCCATAATCTCGAGGATGTAGGTCGTGACGCTTGGAACGACAAACTTATCAAAGCTCGTGATAAGTTTGAAAAAGCGAACCCCGACAGGTGCACGCTATAAGCTGCATCGTCTGTCAAGGGAGAAAGGATTACCCTGCCTCTCTTGGGGAGACTCGTGCCCATGTTGTGTGAACAACTCTGCACGAGCACCTAAGGAGGCTTACCTCCTTACCAGCCCGTGGTGGCGCGTACGTGTCTCTACTGAGATGTACGAAGGGATTGACAACCTGAAATCCCTTTACGACCGTGCCGGGAAGACTTTCTCCGGCGGTCCTTCTGCGGCACAGGATGTGTCGCGTCGTACTGCTCGACCAGACCCAGTACGTCAACCATCAATTGGGAGCGGGGCTCCCAAGAATCCCCAGGACGGGGGATAGCCGCGCCACCGGACGAGGTAACTCGTCCGACGTCCGTTCACGTCGCGGTGGTTCAACAGCTGCTCTACTAGATAGCGCTGGCCACCGCGAGAGTCCTCTAATGGAGGTGGAGGAGGAGGAAAGACGCTCTCCACACGATCATGTGGATCGGTGTGTTCCCGAGAGCTTCTTTGATCGCGTAACGCAAGGGTTACGCGACGATCTCGAGCATGAGCGGAATAGGCGTCTCCAGATGGTGGACACTGCCTCGAAGCATCGAGCTGAGTTTGCCTTTGCTCAGCTTGAGAACGAGAGATCTCTGACATCTCTTCGTGACGAGCTAAGGGTAGCTCGTGGGATTGTTGATCGGTCTCGGGCTGAGATAACTGCTCTTCAGACCCTTGTTGATGCCCACCATCGGGAGCACAAGGCTCTCTGCGAGATGCTTGAGCGCAAGGGCGTTCTTCATCGGAAGAAGCAGCGTACTGATGGTACGGCTTAAGCCGACCAACGTAAAACGTGGGATGCGTTCGCATCTTACGTGGTAACTCGATCGTGTATGCATTGCCTAGGCGGTGCAATACACGAAATGGGCCAATGTACTTGGGTAGTAGTTTACTGCTACCCAAGTTAGTCACTACATGTTTTGGTAGATTAACCGTAGACAGTAGGACTAAGTCACCTTTATTAAATAAAAGAGTGTTTGCCCTTCCATTCTTGTCAGCGTTTTGCTTTTGCTTATCCACCGCTTCGGCGATGGAGTCTTGCACAAAACGGACTACCGTTTCACGAGCCAGTATGAACTCATCTGATGACTCGTTAGCTTCAGTGTGCTGTGAGCGCACTGCAGCGACAACAACCTTTTCTTCAGTGAGGGCTTCCGCACTCTCACTGGGATCATTGTCTTCAGTGAGGGCTTCCGCACTCTCACTGGCATCGTCTTCTTCGATATCGATGTTATCGATATCGGCATCAAACGCAATGACTTCTTCGTCAGAGCGTGATGAGCGTGAACCAAATCGGTTTTTGCTCGCGCGAGTCCCTCCCCCCTTAAACCAGAGTTACACTCTAGTAAGGTGGGTACACGCGGATGGCGCAAGCCATTCACGTAAAACGGTGTATGTGTCGTGGACGCATGCACCGAGTTGTTGATGGCAAACTCTACCATTGGCAAAAACTCACTCCAACTTTTAAAGGAGTGTACGTATCCTCGAAGTATCTCTTCGAGGACACGGTTGGCACGTTCCGTCTGACCATCTGACTCTGGATGATCAGATGTTGACATCTTCAAGCGCGTTCCGAGTGATTTGAACACGGAACGCCAGAAATCAGCAGTGAATCGTGGATCTCTGTCTGAAACGAGTTCACGGGGCAACCCATGAAGTCGGAAGATGGTGTCAATAAAGACACAAGCACAGCCACTTGCCGTGATTGTCTCTGGTACAGCCACAAGGTGTACCATTTTGCTGAATCTGTCAACAAATACGAGAATACCCGTATTCCCGCGTGCGTCTTTGGGTAACCTGAAGACGAAATCCATTGAGATGGATTCCCAGCACTCAGCCGGAACCGGTAGAGGCTGTAAAGGTGCACGCAGTGAAGGACTTGACTTCACTCGTTGGCAGACTTCGCATGCGCGAACATACTTTCGCACAAACTGATACTGGCGGGGCCAGTAAAAGTCTCGACTTACCGTGAGATATGTTTTCTCTCGGCCACGATGTCCTCCTATAGGAGCATCGTGATACTCGAACATGATCCGCAAACGCAGATCAGTATCATCTGGAATGACAACACGTGGTGTGTCACCAGAAACGGCTGTATAGTACAGTAAACCGTTACGAGTAGTGTATCGATCTGATGCAGATCGATACGCAGACGACAATCGTTTCAACGATTCTCGAGATGGTTGGGAGAGATGTGACAACAACTTCACTATCTCACCATCTTGGGCGTATGCCCGCCTCACATCATCATACAACGTTGTAGATGGAACTGAGGACGTCATAACCGCAACAGTGACTGTCTCACTGTTGGGTTTCGCGACTGTTTCAAAGTCGGGACGACGTGAGAGTGCATCAGCGACGACATTAAGTCGTCCTGGTTTGTACTCGACCGTAAAGTTGTATTCTGCAAAGAATGACAACCACCGCGCCATTCGTTGTGAAAGGTGCGGGCTGTTCACTGCCGTGCGTAAGGACGCATGGTCAGTGTAAACAACGAAGGGTCTATCTCCTAATAGATAGACTCTGAACTTCGCGAGTGCATACTTCATGGCAAGGAGTTCCTTGTCATGCACTGGATAGTTCCGCTCAGCTGGTTGCAGCTGACGCGACTGATAGCAGACGACGCGTTCAACGCCTTCAAGGTCGTACTGCATTAATGCACAGCCGATTGCGAAATCGCTGGCATCACAGACCACATGAAATGGCCTGTCCTGATCGGCTATTGCTAGGACTGGGGATTGTATCAAGCTCTGCTTGATACCCTCAAAGGAGCGTTGACATTCAGCGTTCCATAACCACCTCTCGTTCTTTTTCAACAAACGAGAGAGGTGCACAGTCATCTCGGCGTAATTGCGTGAATACTTATGCAAATACGCCGCTAGCCCAAGGAATTTTCGAAGACCTTTGACATCGACCGGCACGGGCCAGTCGGTGATCGCCTTGATCTTTTCGGGATCAGGACGTACACCGTTCTTACCAACGATGCACCCAAGAAGTGGTATTTCGCTTGCTGCAAATATACACTTCTTGAGGTTAGCATACAATTGATGCTTTCGCATGATTGTAAGAACTTGTCGGACGTGGTACCTGTGAACCTCAACGTCCGACTTTCCATCCATAGCTCGACTATGGATGAATACGTCATCGAAATAACTCGGCGCGAATTCTCGTACTGGCCTCAACAGATGTGATACACACCTGTTGAACGTGGCAGGGGCATTACTGAGCCCTTGTGGCATTACTAGCCATTCCCAGAGCATGCCGCTAGGCGTGCTAACTGCGGTATAGGGTATATCCCGTTCCGCATTAGGATTTGATAGAAGCCATCCATCAAATCCATGGACGAAAAGATGGTACTCTTTGACATACCATCAATGATTACGTCCTTCCTCGGTATCGGCGTCTGAGCCGGTACCGTTGCAGCGTTCAATTTGTTAAACGCGTGCACTATCCGCCACCCTCCTGTTGCTTTTCGCACACAGAAGGTCGGAGAGCTATGTGGGGAAGTTGATTCCCTCACATGGCCTGGCTGCTAAACGATCGGCAAAGAACTTGTCGATCGCAAGTACTTGTTCACGAGGCAGTGGCCACTGCTTCATGACACAGTACTTCGAGCCTGGTTTAAGCTCGACTTCGTGTCGAATACCTTTATCCTTCGGTAATTCGCACGGAACAGTTTCAGGGAATACATCCTTGAATTCAACCAAATCCTCATAGAGAGAGTTTTCCTTGAGCGATTCCCATGATTGGGACTCATATCGCTCAATTCGTGTCTTTTCATCTAGGACACTCTCGTCCATAGATGAACTACTGAGAACTCTCTCGTTCTCAGTAAACACTGTTGCTGACCTTATGTCGGTTACACACTCGTCGTCAGCGACGAGTATGCAGATCTGCTTGACTTTGCCACTACGCAGATCACGCAAGAACCTTTTATGTTCGAGCGTTGGCAACTGAGTGATCTCCGAAGTTAACTTCGGAGGCGCAATCAGATCAAGTGTATAAGCGCCTACACATGATCCGTTATTGACTATGACATTCAATGTCTCTGTCATTTCCTGGGGACTTATTCCCTCAGGCTTCGAAGGACTTATTCCTTCGTCTTCCCGGGGACTTATTCCCGCGGGTTTCGGGGAACTTATTTCCGCCGTATTTGTAATCTTGGGACTTATTCCCTTTACTTCCTCTAGCTGGGGTTGCGCAACCACAGCGAGATCCTCTACGAAAGACTCTCCAGTCGATCTAGGATTATCGTTTCGCTTAACCTGAGCGATCGATTGTTTCTCTTCTAGATGTTCCCCTCTAGGGATACATCTTTGTCCCAGTCCACCCGACTTATTCGAGTGGTGGACCTTCGGCGCAGCCTGTGTTTCCTCACAGCCGCCGGAACTTTGCTCCGAAGTGTAACCGTTTGGTACACTAAGGTTTTGTGCAGTCGTACTAACGACCGTACCACAAGTGAGGCCATCGCACTCACTCGTAGTACATCCACACGCTTGTGGACGCTCCAAAACGTTCATCAGATGGCCATCTGATGAACAAGCGGCAGGCATCGTTACTGTCCGATGTTGCCAGTTTACCCGTGGTTCGTACCTTCTGAGCCACGGTATTCCAAGGATGACATCAAATTTGTCATCCAAATCCAATACGATAAAGTCATCGTCGTATTGGGTATCTTCTAGCGTATAGTGAATCTTTACTATACGCTTCATGACGGTTACGGATGCGCCTGTCGCAAGACGTACCGTCATCCTCGTAGGAGGTGTGTCACATTCACTGAATTTAAAGTGACCATCTTCTAGCGATTGGCGTCGCACAAAATTGTTGGACGCCCCACAATCGACTAGAGCTCGAAGGGACAACTTATTCGTCACTTCGAGTTTCAAGGTAATGAGTGAGATCTCATTACCTAGAGCAGCAACGCACAATGTCTGTGTGTTGGGAGCAACCTTCATCAAGAGGCCTACAAATTCTCTTGACGTTGCTGGATCAGTAGGGTGCTCCGCACCTACTGATCCTGTCCGTTTTTTGACGGTCCATCCCGTTGTTGCGTCTTTGCACCAACTGCGGACCCTCGTCCCTGCCCCTTTCTCATGGGTGGACGGTCACTACGCCCAGTGTCGCGAGACACTGGACGAGGGGCACTACACTCGTAAGCGTAGTGTCCTGTCTTCTGACATCTGTTGCATCTCTGCAACTTCTTGTAGCCTGTAGAGCGAACCTTCTCGCTCTCTACATAACAGAGTTCCATCGGCTCTGGACCTCCGTTGTCATATCGTCTCGGTTGACGATATGATGTCGAGCTGGCGCGAGCCTGTCTCAGACTGAAGTCTTCCTGCTCCGCAATGGAAATGGCTTGTTCTAGTGAATCTAGTTCAAGCCGGAACAGGTGAGTCTTGACGGGACCATCCGCAAGACCCTGCATGAACACCGAAACCAACGTGTGTTCATCCACCGGATTGGAACTTATACAACTCGTGAGATGTCGTATATGTTGAGCGTAAGCGTGCACATCACGCTTACCCTGCTTGAGCTTCAAGAGTTCGGTTCGAGCTCTGAACTCAGCTCTAGGCGGTTCAAACGTTTGTCTGAGCCGCGACTTGAAGACTTCCAACGACCCAAACGCATATGGGTCGTGCAGCTTGAGCCCCAGTGCCCAAGTCTTGGCACGTCCTGCCAGATTTGACTGGGCAAATGCAACTTGCATATCCCCGTCGTCGATGCGACGCGCCCTTATGGCGTCATCCAATTCGACGAACCATCTCAAGAGGGAGTC